AGCCCGGAACGTCGAAGAGGCGGACGCGCGGAGGAGGATTTGGAAAAAGCGAGGGAGGCGAGAGCGAGGGAGAGAGGAAGGGACAGGCAAGTCGAGAGGAGGGAGAGAGGGAGGACTTTTCCAGCGGCGAACGTCGAAAATCTGGAGGAAAAACAGTTCAGGTCGATGCAACCGCAAGCGACGATACAAACTCAAGCTACGATACAACCGATAGCTTCGACGCAAACTCAGATTTCGATGCAGCCGCCAGCGAGACCTCACCAAAACGTGGATCACAACCTGGAAAGTTTGAGCGCCATGGAAAGAGTTGAAGCCAGGAGGAGACAGCAAAATGTGCAGGTGATTGAGCAGGAAAATTTGAGATTAAAACCAGAAACGCAACCAAGACCAGAGCGTTTAAACCAAGTGGAAATCGTTCAGGAACCGCCGAGAAAAGAACCGAAATTACTAATGGAGCAATTGGAGCATCAACACCGACCAAAAGTTGAGCAGCCGGAGCTAAGGCAAGACTCAGAGGTTTATTCGCAAAAAGCCCGGAGTCGCGGCGTGGATATGAAGCCCAAAGTGCGGACGAGATCCATGTCGGACATCGGGATCAGCCAGTCGTCCAACATGTACCGGATGGAGCGGGGGGGCAGGGAGGTGGCGCGGCCCGTGCCCAGCGCGGGGTTACCGAACGGGGACGTGGGGACGCTGGACACCAGGGTCTCTGTGGCGCAGCTCCGGCACTCGTATCTGGAGAACGCCAACAGGAAGCCGGAGCTGTAGGTTCAAGCGCATGGGAGTGAGATGCTGGATTGGTTTGATGTGGTGATGCCGAGACTGAACTAACTTGAAACTAAATAACACCATGCACATCTTATGCACGTACATACAGTCAGATAAAAAAATAAAAATAGTCATTCGTTCATTCGTTTTTCAATATAAAACCAAAAATAAGAAAACGAAAAACCAACAATTTTCTTCATTATTTGTCTCCAAAACCAAAATAAAAAAAACAGATAATGATTTGTTTTTTCAGTTTTCGATTTTGTGATTAAATGAAAAATGGAAAAAAACAGATTACGGCCGTGACTGCGATGCCGGACTTTTGCGTTGCATACGGACTGAACCAGGACTGATCCAGGACTGATCCAGGACTGATCCAGGACCGGGACCAGACCGGAACCAGAGCGGAACTGAGACTGAGACCAGACCAGGACCAGACCGAGCCTGAGATCAGGACTGAGACCGGGACCAGACCGAGACTGAGACCAGACTGGGACCAGACCGAGACTGAGACCAGACTGGACCAGACCGAGATTGAGATCAGGACTGAGACCGGGACCAGACTGAGACTGAGACCAGACTGGGACCAGACCGAGACTGAGACCAGACCGGGACCAGACCGAGATTGAGATCAGGACTGAGACCGGGACCAGACCGAGACCGAGACTGAGATGAGGACTGAGACTGGACCGACCCAGGCCAAGACTGAGATCAGGACTGAGACTGGGACCACACCAGGACCAGGCCAGGGACCAGACCAGACCAGGACCAGGCCGGGACCAGACCGAGACTGAGACCAGACCGGGACCAGACCGAGACCGACTGAGACCAGACCGGGACCAGACAGACCGGGACTGAGACCAGGGACTTTGACCGAGACCAGACCGGACCAGACTGGACCAGACCGGGACCAGAGACCGGGGACTGAGACCGGGACCAGACCGAGACCAGACCAGGACCAGACCGGACCAGGACCGGGACTTTGACCGAGACCAGACCGGGACCAGACTGGGACCAGACCGGAACCAGACCGGGACCAGACCAAGACTGAGACCGGGACTGAGAACAGGCTGTGACCAGACTGGGACCAGATCATTTTGGTTTTGGAGACAAATAATGAAGAAAATTGTTGTTTTTTCATTTTCTTATTTTTGGTTTTATATTGAAAAGCGAATTAACGATTGACACACGGATTGAGTAAGTACCGTATTTTCTGGAGTATAAGTCGCACCAGCCAAAAAATGCATAATGAAGAAAAAAACATATGTAAGTCACACTTTTTTGGGGGGAAATTTATTTTATAAAATCAAACATCAAGAACCGACATTTCCTGTGTAAAGTCAAGTTGTAGTAATAACAATAGAAGAGAGACAACAGGCTGTTAACGTCACATATGAACAGTTCTTCAGATAAACTATAACATAAACAACAGAACAGAACAAGTTTAACAAACTCTCCATCTCACCCAACTCCGCTAAATCTATCTTTTAGCCTCTGATTAGTGTTTTTTGTTTTCTTCATTGCAGTTAGATCAGGAGTGTCAAACTCAAATTCACAGAGGCCAAAATTAGAAACTGGGTTGAAGTCGTGGGCCAAACTAAATATTTATTGAAAAATTTTAACAACATCTGCATGTTTTCTCTTCTTTTGAGATGTGTAATAAACCTTTTCTTATTAAAATAAATTAAACTTAACCATTGAATCCAGAAAAAGCAGAATATAAAATAATAACATTTTAAATAAATAATGTCTCTATAGTCGATCTGTAGCCATGCGCAGCTCTAATACAGATTTGATATAATCTCACGGGCCAAATATAATTATATCGTGAGTTCTGACATGTCTGAGTTAGAGTTAGAGACTCTTTTTGCCAGTCCTTCACAAGTTTCTCGTTCTTTCTTTCTGCTGATCGATTACCGTTTTCAGCTGAATATTTCACGACTTGCTGCTTGTAATCTGCAGAAAATGACTAACAGTTTATCACCGCTTGATAAAATAAGTTATGACCCTAAATGAACATTAGTGAGTGGGACACGTCTTTATGATCCGTGTGCGTTAAATGTAGGTGAGTGCATGACAAGAAGAAGGAAAGTCCGGTTTATTTGTATAGCGCAGTTCGTACACTAAGTAACTCAAAGTGCTTTACAGAATAAGAAAACATACAGAATAAGAAATGTGTCAAACTTTAGTAGCCGGACATCCGCTCATACCTGATCAATACAACTAATCTTGTCCCTGAAATCTGCTGAAATCCTACGAGACACTGACATGATACAGACAGGACAGAGGCTCTTTCTGCAGGAGACATGCGCAGTAGAGACAAGTGACAGTGGTACAGGAGGAACAGGAGCAGCAGATACTCACACACAAGACTAGAACGCCCTCTAGAGGCTGTCAGTGTGAAAATAACAAACTCGTGAAATTGTATATAAACCTGAGTATAAGTCACAAGAAACCCCCAAACCATGAAAAAAAAAGTGCGACTTATAATCTGAAAAATACGGTAAGTGGATAGATTCCATTGGTCAAATTTCCAGGATTTGGGTCCACACATCAAAATAAGGACTAAACCCGGAACTAAATCTGAACTAGACCAGCACTAAATCATACTTTGACTAAATCTGGAACTAAACCTGGACTTTCGAAGGACTAGAACAAAACTAAACCAAATCTACATCAGGTCTAAACTGGACCAAACAAGGACAAGAATGACTCGACCTTGACATTTGTTGCAGCTTTTAGAAGTAATGCCAGTGTTGGGGAGTAACAGATTACATGTACCGGAGTTAAGTAATCAGAGTACAAATGATGAGTAACTGTATTCAGTTACAGTTACTGTTTCAGTGAGTGGTAATTGGATTACAGTTACTTTGTTGAAATAAATGGATTACACAGAGGGATTTTCCTGTTTTTCCCATTTTGGGCTAAACCGGGACTAAACCAGGACTAAACCAGGACTAAACCAGGTCTAAACCAGGACTAAAACCAGGTCTAAACTAAACCAGGACTAAACCAGGACTAAACCAGGTCTAAACCAGGACTAAACCAGGTCTAAACCAGGTAAACCAGGAAACCAGGATAAACCAGGACTAAACCAGGATAAACCAGGACTAAACCAGGTCTAAAACCAGGTCTAAACCAGGTAAACTAAACCAGGTCTAAACCAGGACTAAACCAGGACTAAACCAGGTCTAAACCAGGTCTAAACCAGGACTAAAACCAGGTCTAAACCAGGTCTAAACCAGGACTAAACCAGGACTAAACCAGGTCTAAACCAGGACTAAACCGGACTTAAACCAGGATCTAAACCAGGTCTAAACCAGGAAAACCAGGACTAAACCAGGTCTAAACCAGGACTAAACCAGGTCTAAACCAGGACTAAACCAGGTCTAAACCAGGTCCAGGTAAACCAGGTCTAAACCAGGTCTAGGACTAAATCCAGGACTAAACCAGGTCTAAACCAGGATTAAACCAGGACTAAACCAGGTCTAAACCAGGATTAAACCAGCTAAACCAGGATTAAACCAGGACTAAACCAGGTCTAAACCAGGACTAAACCAGGATTAAACCAGGACTAATCCAGGTCTAAACCAGGATTAAACTAGGTCTAAAACAGGATTTAACAGGACTAAATCCTGCTGCGTGGACGTGTTTCCTCGTCTTCTATCAGTGATATTTTTAATTTGGTTCAGTAAAGTCTGGGCTTTTTCATTTTCTTTTACCAGACAGAACATCTTATGTTACGATTTCCTCGTCTTTGCTTCTCTACATCAAATCAAGTAATCCAAAGTATTCAGATTACGTTACTCACTTTAAGTAATTTAATGGATTACGTTACAAACTACATTTTGGGGTATGTAATCTGTAATCTGTAGGGGAAATACATTTTAAAAGTAAACTTCCCAACACTGTGCGTAACATTATAGAAGTCAAAATGTTGTTATCAATCCTAACTCCTTGTTTTAATGCTCGCTTTCTAACTCAATGTAATCAAAGTGTGGCAATAAATATGAATTAAATTATTATTTGTTTGTGTTGCTGCATGTTTCATTTCTGATACGTTTATTTATAGATTTTTGTCATGACGTTTTTGCTTTTGGCTTGTTGATTTTTTTTTTTACAGTGGAGCTGCTGTGAACTTGTGCACTTACGTCTGATTACGTTTCATATAATTTTACAGATTTATCACTCGTTAAGATCAGTTTAAATCGTTCCTCCGTCCTCTTCCTCAGCGATCAGCCCAAAGCCGACCCCGCTCTGGACCCCGGAGCCGCAGGAGCCGAGTCGGACCGCAGCAGGAGGCCCAGACGCTACATCACTCCCGGAGACAGCCGCATGTCCGAGCGCTTCAGGACGCAGCCCATCACGTCGGCAGAGAGGCTGGAGTCGGACCGGTCAGCAGGGGGCGCTGTGCAACACAAATATAACAAATGTGCAGGTTTTTAACAGTGCGTTTTTGTGTCTAGGGGCAGATTGAGTCCCGCGCAGCTGCAGGACGGAGAAGGTGAGTTATTGTTTAAAACTACATCCAGAACAGAACCAAAAGATACGTAAAAAATAGTTACATATTGTTCTAAAACAGGTGTAATGTAGTACAGGCAAGTTTGAGCTGACGTCATTGTTATTAAAAGCCCGCGTTGCTGCTGGGAAATATTTTGGTCGGAGGCAAGAAACACGGTAGCGTCAAACACAGTGCGTAACCTCGCGTATTTATCCCCGATAATGGTAAATTCCTGCTGCATTATCAGATGCACAAATAGAAGCACGGAAGAAGGAAAATGTCTTTTTCGTATTCTGAGTGAAAAGAACCGCTAACGGAGAATTAAACGGCTTTCAAACATCCGCAGAGCAAACGTAGAAGATCCTAACAAACCGTGGACTCCAACAAGTTCAACAACACATCGAGACTCTTGGAGGTTTTCATCTTTTCTGCTGTGAATGGCCCAGGAGTTTCCACCAAGTCATTGTGGATATCGCCAAAGTGAATATTTGTCCAGGTAGTTGGAGATTCTGACCAGAAATTTGGTTTGGTCCAACTTTTGTCGGGGTTGAAAAGGGTGATTTGGCTCCATCGATGCTTATGACCAATTTCTGGTCAAATGGTCTTGGGTCCTCTGCCGTTAGAGTGGATAAATAACCGGGATCAATACCCTTTACGTGCTTTCTCACTCCGTCCGTCGTGTTGAATTAGTGTTTCTTGCCGCTGAACAAAATAATTCCCAGCATGCAACGCGCGCTTTTGTCAACAATGAAACTCGCCTGTTGACCTGCCAGCTCTGGAAACTTGAATCTTTCTATGCAGCCGAATTTCTTAAAATCATTGAAGGCTCTATTCACACTTACGTCACAAACAAAAAGACGTTTGGAAACATGTGATGACAACTTCCAGTGGGCTCTGTTTGTAGTAGTAGTAGTAAGTCAAGACAAAATTTTGTAAAAATGAGAACATTTCCTAGTTTTCTTCATCTCCATGTCACTGTAGTGTTCCGTTATGTTTGGCGAAAGAACAGCTCAGTTTTTATCATTTCATCACTGACGCACGACTCTGAGCGCACTGGGTTCATGTGATTAGAAGAGACGAGGCGCCAAATTCAAGATGATTCCAAACAGCACATACGTCGACTCTACAGTCTTCATTTTACCGCTGATCACATTTACTTCAGTGGGTTTTATCCTTGGATCTATAATAAAAACTGGATAAGCCCCTCCATCTCTGTCCCAGCTCCAGACCGACTAGTGGTCACTCCAGGTACTGCAGCTCCCAGAAGCTTGGGCCCAGAAAGAATTCCCCAACAGAGCGCACTGCATTTCTTGGGAATTCAAAAAAATACTTTTTTCTATTTTTACAACATAAACTTAACCCTAACCCTAAAAATGTTTAAATCCTCAAAGCACCTAAAAGTTAGTTTTGTAAAACTTAGCCTCTGCTCGCTCTAAGCCCACGATCGCTCCACTCTACCAGCTCCTATCGGTCTAAACCAGGGGCGCTCAATACGTCGATTGTGATCTACCAGTCGATCGCCAAGGGTGGATTGCCGTGTCTTAGTACTCGTCTCGGACTCGATCGTGTTTGGACTCGGTCTTGTCTCTCACTCGAGGTCTGACACTCAACAAGTGTGATCATATTTCATTACGGCCGCTGCTGTTGGTAATAAACTTGTAGCGGGTGCAGGAGCGTGTGGGGCGTCTCAGTGCAGCCTGTGCGCTCATTTAAAACCCGCGGAGACTCTACGGCGCATCACAAACACACACGCTCCCTATGCACGGCTCGTCTGCGACAGCGTGTGCCCTCGTGTACCAGCGTGCATCACAGGGCAGGTTCAACTTCCTAAACATCCTACCTGTCCATCTGCCTCACGTCAGCACGCCGCCCCTCGCCTTTTCACGCTCTCGCTCCTTCCTGCGTACAGCGAACACAAGCCCCTCCCACAGTGCGGCTGATTAGAAGAGCAAGACCAAACGTGACGCAAAAACCAGTCTAAATTTGTGTTCCAGTGTTGGCACAAAGCAGGTCTACAGCATAGAGCGGATCTACAGAACAGACCTACTGCCACATTTGGCTGAAGTTTGTCTAACAAAAGTGCACAAATGCATCTGTGTTTGTCACGATGTGCGTTTGGTTTGGTAAACGTGCAGAGGCTGGTAAATATCACTGCAAAACCAGAAAAGAATGCAACTCCAGTTTGGAACTTTAAAAAACAGGTTTAAAAATCTTCCTTCACTTTTTTCACAGTTTTGTGTAAAGTGCCAGAGGAAGTTCTCTTAAAGAAGAGGTTCTCAAACTGTGGGGGAGGGTCCAAAAAAGGGGCACAGAGTGTTTCAGTGCAGTTTGTTTGGCTTTGTATTAGGTAGATCATTTTGACTTGGTCATTTTGTAAGTAGCTCACATGATGGAAAAGTGTGAACACCACTGGTTTAAACGCTCCACGTCGTGCATGAGAAGCTCAGGACTCAGACTCAGGAAGTAAATGTGGAAGAGAAAACTATCTTTTTGACTCATGTGCCAGGGAGCACAGGCCACTGAAAACAACATGACTCCATCTTGGGTTCACCTTCAGATTTTATTGTAGTTCTGTGGTTTTATCACAGTCGGTCGGCGAGCTCAGCGTCGGGAACTACACTGGAAGTCGTCATCGCGTTTCCAAACATCTTCCTGGTTTCTGACCTAAGCGTAAATAGAGCCTATTTTGTTTTAGGAAGATGATTTCAACCCCCAACAACAGCTTGCTATTATTTAATTTGCAATTGTAAATAAAATCCATGATATCTATCTCCTTACCTATGCAAAAAAGTAAAAAACAAAACAAAAAACACAAATATTAATATTCTGAATGAAGTGTAAATTCATTTGTTATAATGTTCTTTTTTCTTTCTCCGTCAGATGAAGAGAAACTAGATGAACGAGCCAAGATGAGCGTGGCTGCTAAAAGATCTCTGTTCAGGGTAAACATTACACATTTACACACACAGATTTTTGGACTAGTACACGGTGTTTACTGATCCTAGATTTCTCCAAAACCATTGATTAGTTCCGTTTAATACAAGAAATGTCGCAGATGTCCCTGTTTTTGACCAGTTTGTTACCGTCAACAGTAACAGGTCAATATATTTTGTTTATCTTGTAGCGAAAACACAGAAAAACGTGCTTGAAAATGAGCATAAGGCAAAAAAAAAAAAAAAAGACAATGTACGCGTTCTTTTCACAATTTTACCGAACGTCCCAACCCAGGTGTGTCCCAGTTTTTAATTTTGAAGCTAATATAACACATGGTAATATAAAAGAAAGCAGTAACACTTTATAATAACTACACCTTATTTAGCCTTAATAAAGCATGAACAAAGACTTAATTAATAATGATTCACGCTTAGTAACTACTTAATTACTACCTGAATTAGCACTTAACTTGCACTTAATTCACCTGTGCTGTAAATAGTTATATTGCTTAATTACTCATGAACTAACCATTTGCTTGTGCATTTGTAAATGTATATTTAAGTACAAATTAGAGCATTTATTAATGATTAGTAAGCCATGAGAGAATGATTTACTAGTAATGCATTATTGTTTCTCTGGAATTTGACCAACCTTAACAAATGTTTAATAAACATAATTAGTCTTCACTTTAGAAAAGCTCTCAGAAAGACTTAACTAACAGATAACAGCTGCCTGAATGATCATTGCATTGTATTATTAGTAAATCATTCTGTCATCGCTTACTAATCATTAATAAATGCTCAAATTTGTACTTAAATATGCATTTGTAAACATGCAAATGGTTAGTTCATGAGTAATTAAGAAGTATTGAGTAACTATTTACAGCACAGGCGAATTAAGTGCAAGTTAAGTGCTAATTCAGGTAGTAATTAAGTAGTTACTAAGCGTGAATCATTATTAATTAAGTCTTTGTTCATGCTTTATTAAGGCTAAATAAGGTGTAGTTATTATAAAGTGTTACCAAGAAAGTATTATTTAATGTTGAAAATTACATTCTGTTGCCTAAATAAGTGCAAATGTTTTTTTTATTCGTCGTAGCGTCGGAATTGGTTTTGCGTATCGAGTCTTTAGTGTCAAACAGCACTTCCTGATCCCATGTCCCCGTCCTGTTTTTCCCGTCAGGAGCTGGAGCGCACGTCTGAGGGGGGCGTGCCCAAACCGCGCTCTCGGAACGCGGCGGTGGATCGACGCCTCCGCAGGGTCCAGGACAGATCTCACACACAACCGGTCACCAGCAGAGAGGTGGTCAACGCCGCCAGGTAACACTCGGATAATCAACCCCCCAAAAAAAAACCTCACTGTGTCCTCACGATCCCATTTTAAACCAGCTATTGGTACTTTGCAGTGGAATCACGCTGGGGGTGTTCTGTGTGTATGTGTCTGGCGCAATGTTCAGCAGTTGCTATGGTGACACGATGCACACATTATCCTGATAAGCTTTAAAATTAGTCTGAAAACCTGTAAAAATTCCCCAAATGGCTTTCAGTAACACATTCTCAGGAGCCTGTGGTCAATACAAGAGGCTCTATTCACGTTACGTCACAAACCAGGAAGACGTTTGAAACATGCAACAACAACAGGGATGTACTGGTACGTGTATTCGTGCTGGTTCGGTGTGCGGCTGTGCACGAGTGAATTTGTGCAATTTGTGTGTGTTTGTATTCCACCACAACATGTGCAGCTACACTAGTCAGTCTGGTGCGACCTAGTGCCTCCGCTCAATTTCATTTCTCTCCAGAGACTAGATCAGGAATCGGAATACACTAGAGCAGGGGTGGGCAAACTTTTTGGCTCGCGGGCCACGTAGGGTCCTAAAATTTGACTGAAGGGCCGGACAGAAGACAGGACATGACGTGTTAAGAGCTCGGCTCCACTGCACTCGTATTTATGCTCATGTAGGACGTGCACCACGCGCCACAAGTTTGACTTTGACGCGTAAGATTCAGAACACAAGAAGAGTGAACAGACATGCTCCACTGCACAACACAGGCGACCGTGAATCAGTTAGGGCTCATTGACAAACAGAGCCCATGCCATAACGCGTGCAGTAGAACCAGGCTCTTAAAACTTTGCATATGTTCAGTTTTGGAATGCAGCGTCTATAAGACTTTCATCTTTGCTTTTTACCCACTCAGAATGGAAACAATGCAGCCTTATGTCTTGAACACTTCTGCCTCACTCATGGTCCGAATACGCCGCCCGAAAATGACTCCTGTAAGAACACTTTCCCATAAAGCATCGCGGCCAACATAATACGCCGCACCTCAATGTATATATAGTGCGTCATCTACTGGGAAACGCCGGAAATGCAGGAAAAATAAAACATCAACAAGGTTTATTATTGTAATTTATTCCAGTTCGGCGGGCCAGATTAAAAGGTTTAAAGGGCCGCATACGGCCCCCGTGCCATAGTTTGCCCACCCCTGCACTAGACGTTTTGCAAGATCCTCGGAAGTTGTAGACCGCGCACCGGCCAATCAGCGAAGAGCAGTGAAGTCAAACTCGTCGCGTCTGTCTGTGTCCCTTTTGTGGAACAGCACAACAGTAAACAAAGCGTCGAGATGGATGTAGACGAAGACAGACATTCTCAATTCGCAAGATCGAGGATTTAAAGCTGGAACAAAGAGAATGTTTGGTGAATTTTATCAAGAGGAAAGACGTTATTGTCCTTCTTCCTACGGGATTTGGAGCATTACATACGTCACGACCAAACAGCAGTGATTGGTTAAATAAAAAAAGTACCCGCCTACCGTCGAGCGAACGAATCCTAATGCTGCGAGGTCACACGGTTTCAAAAAGGTGAAACCGGCTGATGAATCAGGCTACAGCTACACAGAGGCTCGGCGCTTTAATATTCACAAGGGAACTTTTCGGTGATTGGGGCGGCAGTGTTTCCCGCAGCGCTTTATAGTTAGGATGGCCGCCTTGACAACAATTGCCTACTTCGTCCCTCCGAACCACCTGAATCCTCGCAACACTACGGTCGTCGCGTCCCTAGTGCTCACTTTCGCCGGCATGGAATCTCCACTTCCCGTGATTTTTATTTACCGTTACACCCCTAACTTCCGGTGTAGTTCCCGACACTGGACTGACTCGCCGACCGACTGTGATCAAACCCACTGAAGTAAACGTGATCAGCGGTAAAATAAAGACTGCAGACGTACGTGCTGTTTGGAATCATCTGGAATTTGGCGCCTCGTCTCTTCTAATCGCGTGTACCCAGTGCGCTCGGAGTTGTGGGGAAGTGATGAAAACTGAGGTGCGGTTGGAACTGTTGATTAGCCAAACATAACGGAACTCTGCAGTGACATGGGGATGAAGAAAACTGGGACATTTTCTCAAGTTTTCCTACATTTTGTCAGACTTACCACCGCGAACAGAACCCGCTGAAAGTTGTCAACGCGTCTTTCCAAACGTCTTCCTGGTTTGAGACGTAAACTTTGGTGTTTGATTTTCAACAAAAAAAGTGAGAGCGACGAACTGAAAAACGTTTGGCGAATGCTAGATAATTTGTCACTGTAGTGTTATTTGAGAGGGATTTGTTTAACAGCGCAAAAGTGAGTTAATTCCGGTCAGATTGTGCTAAAACGAAGCTCAGATCAAAGTCTAACAAAGCAGCACTCCAGCTCCCACAGATGAATGCTGTTGTTGTGTCCTTGAGCAAGGCACTTAACCCAACTCGCCCCTAGTGTCTGTGTACGTAAAGCGCTCTGAAGGTGGAAAAGCGCGACATGAAAGTGTGACCAGAAGTTGATGACCTCAGCTGCAAAGTGTCAATAATCGCACTCTTGAATCTAAAAAGCACGTTTGTGTTTTGAGATTTCTCCCTCCCTGTGACTGCACTCTTCCCTCCTTTAGTGACACAGACCCCTCACAGCAGCGAGTCCCCAGCCCCTCCGCAGACCACCCCTATAACACCAGGTACTACCGCCCATGTGCTTCTTTAAAGGTCGATGCATGTTTGTGTCCTTCACACTCCAGTGTAGAGTGACCAGACGTCTCTATGTACTCGGGACAGTCCCAGTTTTGAGCCCTGTGTCCTCTGTCCCAGCAGATTTATCCAAAACTAGTGATTTGTCCCAGTTTTATACAACAAATGTCCCAGGTGACCATATTTTTGACCAGTCTGATCCCTGACAACAGTAAAGAAAGGCATACCTTGTCATTTTTTAAGGTAAAACACACAAAAGCTGCTTAAAAAAACGACCAAAACACAAAGAAAATGCGACTATACCGACTCGTGTTCGTCATGAATGGCCCAAGTGCAGAACAATTCTCTGTAATTACGCACTCGTGTCACACTTTTATGATTAACAACCACCACAAACTGATGATGTCCCAGTTTTTGATTTTGAAAAGCTGGTCACCCTATACTGGAGGCAATACAGTTTTCGTTGCCGCCTTTCCCCACTGTCATCGTTTCCTTTAGCACAACCCAGCATGATAATGGGCCCAATATTGCACATTAATCTATTTTTAGCAGCATCAGTGTATATCTTAAAGTTATGTAATGTGTACGTAACATGGATCTATTCAAAATACTAGCAAAGGGCACAAGAACTCCAGGTACTGTCCATTTAACAGACCTTTTGTGACTTCTGAACTATGTGAAAAGGGCTATATAAATAAACTTTACTCATTTACTTACTATGAATGGTTCGTGTGTATGAAAACGATATTGCTGCTAATGAGGAAAAAAGAAAAGGACAAAATATCACAGGGTATTGATCCATGAGAAAAATGAAAAATGAAAGGTGACCATTCAGCTTCTTCATTACACATGCGTCGCTGAAGTAAACAAATCTAAAATGAAAAACAACAAATGAAATCCACAACGACATCTACAAATTGTCTCAGTCTTTACATAAAAGGAGGTGATTTTTTCAAAGTGTACTGAAGTAGTTTTAAAAGCCCAAATTGGAATACAGGGTGTCCCAAAAACTGTGATATATTTTAAAAGCAATTATCTTGAAAACTACTAAGTCCATCTCAGTGAAATTTGAAACAGTTTAGGTTTTGAACATCATAAGTTTATGATGGGACTTTGTTTGCCAATAGGTGAGTTTCAGCTGACGTCATTGTTATTAAAAGCCCGCGTTGCTGCTGGGAAATATTTTGGTCAGAGGCAAGAAACGGTAGCGTCAAACACAGTGCGTAACCTCGCGTATTTATCCCCGATAATGGTAAATTCCTGCTGCATTATCGGATGCACAAATAGAAGCACGGAAGAAGGAAAATGTCTTTGTCGTATTCTGAGTGAAAAGAACCGCTAACGGTGAATTAAACGACTTTCAAACATCCGCAGAGCAAACGTAGAAGATCCTAACAAACCGTGGACTCCAACAAGTTCAACAACACATCGAGACTCTTGGAGGTTTTCATCTTTTCTGCTGTGAATGGCCCAGGAGTTTCCACCAAGTCATTGTGGATATCGCCCAAGTGAATATTTGTCCAGGTAGTTGGCGATTCTGACCAGAAATTTGGTTTGGTCCACCTTTTGTCGGGGTTGAAAAGGGTGATTTGTCGTCCGTCGATGCTTATGACCAATTTCTGGTCAAATGGTCTTGGGTCCTCTGCCGTTAGACTGGATAAATAACCAGGATCAATTCCCTTTACGTGCTTTCTCGCTCCGTCCGTCATGTTGAATTAGTGTTTCTTACCGCCGACCAAAATAATTCCCAGCATGCAACGCGCGCTTTTGTCAACAATGAAACTCGCCGATTGGTGAAGTTTTTCCAGATTTTGCACTGAAGGCTGCATCGTCTTGGGTAAGTGTGTGTGAGCAGATTCCATTGCACAAAAAGACTTCTCTTTGGGAGCGAACGTCTCAACCAGAAAACAGAACACAAATAAAACATTACATATAAAATCTTGATCTGTTTCTGTACATTCTCTGAAAATTCGATGTTATTTCAACAAGAATTGACCTGCGAAATTACACCCTGTATTATACATTTAATGAACCTCTTTTCCTCTCCCACAATGTTATGTAATAAAACTTTGAATCTCTTAATCTCTTCTTCAGTGCCCAGGTCTATCCAGACTCCTCCGGGGACCCTCGTGAGCTCCATGCCCTCCCCGAGAGGCCTGTCCTTGGGGGAAGAGGAGAGATGGAGGTCCTGGAGCTGGGTCCAGACGAGCCGGACCTGTCCACTCTGAGTCTGTCCGAGAAAATGGCCCTGTTCAACCGTTTGGCCGTGACGGAGCCTCCCACTGCCGACGGAGCCAGAGACACGAGACAGAGGAGAGCCAACGCCCGCTTCCAGACGCAGCCGATCACGCACGAGGAGGTGGAGCAGGTACAACATCACACGCAGGTTTAGAGACGACAACAAACTGGAGCTTTCAGTAAAACAATCGTGACTCAATAATGATAAAATAAACATGAATAAACTTGTGGCACTCCACCTTTTTGACCTGTCCTTAGGTCCAGTGGAGCAAAAGTCTTTCATGAGGTTTTCAGCACTAAGGTTTTGTTCAGACTAGGGATGGGCATGATTAATCGATAATTGATCATTAAGAATTTCATCGATTACGTTAATTTTAATCGACAAACCGAATGTATGTTGCTGTGTGTATCGTGACCAAACAGGTGTGTACATGTGTCTCTGCATCAGAAGGAGCGAGACACAAACAGTGGGTCAGTCTGCAACGTACTGAAGCACAAATGTGTATTTAACGATGATTTGTACAAGAAATTCCACACTTTCCGTTGCGTTCGGGACAAGTGTGAGTCCATGTGCACAGTGTATAAAGCAGCACATATGTTTCTGTGTCCAGTGGGAAAAAGTTTTTCCAGGTGAGAGTCGCTCAATGTGGATGACGAGTCCCCACCTCCCTCCCCCCGTACGCTGTCCTGGTTTTGACAAACACAAATCTGGTCACACTAACCTGTATTCACCTGAGTCATGTCTTTTAATCCGACAGAAATTGAACCACATCAGCGACACAAGAGCTGGAGTTTTATCTTCGTTTAGTTTATGCAAATTAGTGATGTGGTTTTAAGTTTTGTTTCTGTGAGAGTTGAACAAAACTGAATTAAACACATTATAATGTCAAACGGGCTGATGTGGCTCTAGAGTCGTTACGGTTTATATGTCGTAAAGTTGAATTTATTTATGCAGATTAGTAGTGCAGATAGTCATAATAATGATGATCATTTTAATATAAAAACGTTAATGATTAATCGATCTTTAATTCTTCCGACGATCGATTAAGGAAATTTCATCGAATGCCCGTCCCTAGTTCAGACTGCAGCCTGAAGTGACCCAAATCAGATTTTTTTTCACCTTTATGTTCCTGTATCTGATCTTTTAATGACAGTCTGAACCACACAGATCTGATTTTTTTCAAATGTGACCCAGGACACTTGGATATTTGCTCCTAAAACCGATACATATCTGATCTTTTGACATGCGACTTCAGTCTGAACAGTCAGGTCATATTCATCCCACCTACAGCCCAACGCCGACATATTCACTCACCGAAACAGGCCGCTGAAGACGTGTTTCCTCCCGCGACAGTGCTACAAGTCCCGTATTTTCCGCATTATCGGGTGCTCTGGATTATAAGGCGCACTGTCATTAAATGGTTTATTTTCGAACTTTTTTCACAAATAAACGGCACCGGACTTTAAATGAAACACAACAGTTGGATGGGTCAGTGTGTAATTTACCTTTAACACATGAACTGAAATAGCTACAATTTTAACCAGTTTATCATTTTACCAATACATTTTTAAAATCCTACATGTAAATATAGCCCATTTTTTATACAATTTTAAATGACTAATTATATAAAATAAATATAACATTTTATTATTTTAAGAAAAAATTTAATGAATTAATAAACAGCTTTTAATTGCTAAATAATATATATATTTTTTAAGTTAGTGTTACTTTAACTTAGTACATTTTACACTATTTACCTTAAATCAGATTATTTATAAACATTTAATTATAAACAATCAAATGCCAATTATCAATCAAATGATTTAATTATTAAATTTATCTTTATTTAACATTTTGAGAACTTAAACTGAATTTTTTACTTAAATTGGGGAATTTCATAAAATAAACCAGCCAATGGCATTTAAATCTAACTAAGGCTCCTCATTGTCCTTATTTAAATTAAACAGAATATTCATTTTACATCTAAATTAAGACAGATTACTTTTATATGAGTTTTACCAACATTTTACTATTTTAACTAAATTTAAAATGAGCTCAGGAGTGAAGGTAAAGACGGCTGGACTTTTTGACTTGACTTCAATCTAAGCTCCAGCTCAAATACTTTTCTCTAGTTTTCTTTAGTTTGTATTTGGGAATCTTAAATAAATTCATATCACAAATTGTAGACCAGCTGCCAACTTTTTAAGAGAAATACACTCTACTGTTGTTCTGCTGGACTGGTCACCTGTCTGTGGTCAGATGTTTGTCATGAGAGATCGATAAAAGCCGTGCAGTTCAAACTCTTGCAGCACCTTTAGGACTTCGCAGACTCACTGTAGCTTCATTCTCCTGGTCCGTCTCTTCTGAGCTGGTGTGATATTGAAGCTCTGGTGTCCTGACAGGAGGCTGAGGCTGAGGGCCCCTGGGCTCAGTCTGCAGCGAATAACGGTGGAGATCTAGACTCTGCTCAGGCTCCTCATGTAAGACGCCCGTGTGTGTGTTTCTGCTGCTGTTTGTCAACGCTTCCGTCCGCCCGGTTCTATCTGCGAACTGCATTTTAGATCAGAAATGTGTGTTGCCATTTATATTGTTATTCAGGGTTCCCACGGTCATGGAAATCCTGGAAACGTTCTGTTAACTCTGATTATTTTCCAACGTTTGCGCCTTTTGTTTATTAAAAGAGACGACAATGTAAAAGTCACGGAAAAGTTTTGAAATTTCGTCTGTGAAAAAGAGTGGGAACCCTGGTTATAGACGCATCGAGAATTTCGGACTTCAGGTCATCGCGCAACGCATAGAAGGATTTTACGAAAAAGTGAGCATCAAACCTCCGTGTTTGTTTGCCCAGTCGATCTTTTCAAGTCTTTTGAACCATATCGCTTTTGTTTCTGGTTCTGATATTGTCATATTTTAGTTTTGGGATTCGGACATCGTTAATTGTTGTGGTTGTTGGATCCTAACAGCGGAAAACGTCTCGAGAAATTTGTTTGCGAACTCCATAAATGCAAAAGTGAATCAGATGTGTGTGACTCAAACCTCTGTTCAAACTGTTTCTCTTCCCAACGGAATTGAAAAATAGTGAAAGGTGAAGGTGATGGGCAGGATTGATCCACAGGAAGAACCAAAAATCATCCTGAGTTTACAGAGAACATTTTGTATGTGGAGCGACGACAAAACAAAATCCTGTTTGTTAATGGAGAGGAGCAGAAGACAAACAGACTGAGCTGCACTTTCTTGTTCTTGTGGTTTTACAGCAACATCACGTCTTGGTCTCTTTGCAGTGGAAGGTGTTTCTTGGTGAACAGTTGGTGTTTTTCACTTTGGCGTTGACTTTTTAAATTCGTAACCGAGGTTGAGCGAAGGATCGAGATTTAGCTTTGTTGTCGCTCCACATACAAAATGTTCTCTGCAAACTCAGGATGATTTCTTAGTCAGACAAATGTTTCCTTTTTGGTTCTTCCTGTGGATCAATCCTGCCCATCGCCTTCACCTTTCACTATTTTTCAATTCCGTTGGGAAGAGAAACAGTCTGAACGGAGGTTTGAGTCACACACATCTGATTCACTTTTGCATTTATGGAGTTCGCAAACAAATTTCTCGAGCCGTTTTCCGCTGTTAGGATCAAACAACAACCACAACAATTAACGATGTCCGAATCCCAAAACTAAAATATGACAATATCAGAACCAGAAACAAAAGCGATATGGTTCAAAAGACTTGAAAAGATCGACTTTGACAATAGACACATCCCACTGGGAAAACAAACATTGTTTCGGTTTGATGCTCACTTTTTTGGAAAATTCTTCCCAGTATGAATTGCGCGATGACCTGAAGTCTGAGATTCTTGATGCGTGTATTGTCATTACTCTACAAACATGTTCTGAGATGCATGGGGCTCTTGGATTAGTTTTGCGGCTCAGATTTCAGTTTTCTTGCCGTTTAAATTGTGCATTTTGAACTGAATCCTGATTAGAAAACGCAAAATGCCGACGTAAATGCTTTCAGACATGAGTTGTTTGCGGAAACGGTGCGGGCTTGTCTTGGTTTGTGTTTGTGAAGCTTCTTTTTGGCGACTGCGGCCTCTGTAGATCCGAGTCTTCGCTTCTTCTGCCTGGACATGCTCGAGCGGAGAGATCAAGCATGGACGATCGCGCTCAGTGGATGTGCACAGCTCGTGTCTTTGTGGAAATGTCGATCTACAGCTCAGAAAAAAAAATAAAAATACAAACGCCGCATGTTTATGGTCAAATTGTGGATTCATGAGGGAAAGTTTCTCTTGAATATGTGAATCCTGGTTTGTGTGTTACTTCTTAAAAATATAATCACGGTAAGTGGTTCAAAGCGACAAATGTCAAATGTATTTTAGATTATACAATTTTTTTAAAGCATTTGGAGTTTTCGTCTTTTTAAAATATGAATTGTGACTTTGTTTTAAATTTCATGTTTTGTTCTGGTGACGTATATTTGGGAGACAAAGAATTTTCATGGGGCATTTTTGTTTTCTGTTTTTCTCCTGTTCATTTAGTAACGTGTTTTCTAAAATATTAGCAGCCCAAATAATGAAGAATTTGACAAGTCTAAAACCAAAACGACTTCAACAACAAAAAACAAAAACAAAAATGGAGGTACAACCTTTATTCTGACAGACTGCCCCTCCAACATTCCGTCATTCCGACAACTTTCCATTCCGACACTTTTTGTTACCGCCGTTTTGACAAACTACTCATAGTGGACAGTTCTAAATCAGGACTAAAACCAGGACTAAAACCAGGACTAAACCAGGTCTGAACCAGGACTAAACCAAAACTAAACCAGGACTAAACCAGGACTAAACCAGGACTAAACCAGGACTTAAACCAGGACTAAACCAGGACTAAAACCAGGACTAAAATAAACTAAACCAGGACTAAAACCAGGACTAAACTAGGACTAAACCAGGACTAAAATAAACCAGGACTAAAATAAAACCAGGACTAAACTAAACCAGGACTTAAACCAGGAAAACTAAAAACCAGGACTAACCAGGACTAAAATCAGGACTAAAACCAGGTCTAAAACCAGGACTAAACCAGGACTAAACCAGGACTAAAAACTAAGGACTAAAATCAGGACTAAAACCAGGTCTAAACCAGGACTAAATCAGAACTAAAACCAGGACTAAAACTAGGACTAATATCATGTCTAAACCAGGTCTAAACCAGGTCAAAACCAGAACTAAACTAGGACTGAACCAGGACTAAAATCAGGACTAAAACCAGGACTAAAACTAGGACTAAACCAGGACTAAACCAGGACTAAACCAGGACTAAACCAGGACTAAACCAGGACTAAACCAGGACTAAACTAAACCAGGACTAAACCAGGACTAAAAGGACTAAACAGGTAAACTAAAACCAGATCTAAACCAGGATTTAAACCAGAAACTAAAACCAGGACTAAACCAGGACTAAACCAGGACTAAAATCAGGACTAAAACCAGGTCTAAACCAGGACTGAAACCAGAACTAAAACAAGGACTAAAATCAGGACTAAAGTCGGGTCTAAACCAAGTCTAAACTAGGACTAAATCAGAACTAAAACCAGGACTAAAACTAGGACTAATATCATGTCTAAACCAGGTCTAAACCAGGTCAAAACCAGAACTAAACTAGGACTGAACCAGGACTAAAATCAGGACTAAAACCAGGACTCTAAACCAGGACTAAAACCAGGACTAAACCAGGACTAAACCAGAACTAAACTAAGACTAAACCAGGACTAAACCAGGTCTAAACCAGGACTAAAACCAGGACTAAACCAGGTAGGACTAAACAGGACTAAACCAGACTAAACTAAACCAGGACTAAACCAGGACTAAAACCAGGACTAAACTAGGACTAAACCAGAACTAAACCAGGACTAAACTAAAGACTAAACCAGGTCTAAACCAGGTCAAAACCAGAACTAAACTAGGACTGAACCAGGACTAAAATCAGGACTAAAACCAGGACTAAAACCAGGACTAAACCAGGTCTGAACCAGGACTAAACTAGGACTGAACCAGGACTAAAATCAGGACTAAAACCAGGTCTAAACAGGACTAACCAGGACTAAAATCAGGACTAAACCAAGTCTAAAACCAGGATTTAATCAGGACTAAACCAGGACTAAACCAGGACTAAACCAGGACTAAACCAGGACTAAACCAGGACTAAACCAGGTCTAAACCAGGACTAAAACCAGGACTAAACTAGGACTAAACCAGGACTAAACCAAGACTAAACCAGGACTAAACCAGGTCTAAACCAGGACTAAAACCAGGACTAAACTAGGACTAAACCAGGACTAAAATCAGGTCTAAAACCAGATCTAAACCAGGATTTAACCAGAACTAAAACCAGGACTAAACCAGGACTGAACCAGGACTAAAATCAGGACTAAAACCAGGTCTAAACCAGGACTGAAACCAGAACTAAAACAAGGACTAAAATCAGGACTAAAATCGGGTCTAAACCAGGTCTAAACTAGGACTAAATCAGAACTAAAACCAGGACTAAAACTAGGACTAATATCATGTCTAAACCAGGTCTAAACCAGGTCAAAACCAGAACTAAACTAGGACTGAACCAGGACTAAAATCAGGACTAAAACCAGGTCTAAATCAGGACTGAACCAGGACTAAAATCAGGACTTAAACCAAGTCTAAAACCAGGATTTAATCAGGACTAAACCAGGACTAAACCAGGTCTAAACCAGGACTAAACTAGGACTAAACCAGGACTAAACCAAGACTAAACCAGGACTAAACCAGGACTAAAACCAGGACTAAACTAGGACTAAACCAGGACTAAAATCAGGTCTAAAACCAGATCTAAACCAGGATTTAACCAGAACTAAAACCAGGACTAAACCAGGACTGAACCAGGACTAAAATCAGGACTAAAACCAGGTCTAAACCAGGACTGAAACCAGAACTAAAACAAGGACTAAAATCAGGACTAAAATCGGGTCTAAACCAGGTCTAAACTAGGACTAAATCAGAACTAAAACCAGGACTAAAACTAGGACTAATATCATGTTTAAACCAGGTCTAAACCAGGTCAAAACCAGAACTAAACTAGGACTGAACCAGGACTAAAATCAGGACTAAAACCAGGTCTAAATCAGGACTGAAACCAGGACTAAAATCAGGACTTAAACCAAGTCTAAAACCAGGATTTAACCAGGACTAAACCAGGACTAAACCAGGACTAAAACCAGGACTAAACTAGGACTAAACCAGGTCTAAACCAAGACTAAACCAGGACTAAAACCAGGACTAAACCAGACTAAACTAGGACTAAACCAGGACTAAAATCAGGTCTAAAACCAGATCTAAACCAGGATTTAACCAGAACTAAAACCAGGACTAAACCAGGACTGAACCAGGACTAAAATCAGGACTAAAACCAGGTCTAAACCAGGACTGAAACCAGAACTAAAACAAGGACTAAAATCAGGACTAAAATCGGGTCTAAACCAGGTCTAAACTAGGACTAAATCAGAACTAAAACCAGGACTAAAACTAGGACTAATATCATGTCTAAACCAGGTCAAAACCAGAACTAAACTAGGACTGAACCAGGACTAAAATCAGGACTAAAACCAAGTCTAAAACCAGGATTTAATCAGGACTAAACCATGCCGCACAGACCACGCCTCCTTCCGTGCACCACACCTTCTCCATCAATCCGTGAAAATTTTATCCCGGAAATGCATCACCACAACTTAATAATGACTTTGTGTGTCGGAATGTTGGAAAAAAAAAAAGCTCAAGTGCCGCCACTCCGACCAAGAAACAAAAATGTCAGAGTGCAGGGACGACTGATAAAAAATGCCGCTCCTCCGACAATTAGAGATTGATGTGGGAGTGGCAGCCTGTGATCCAGTTTCTGATCTCAAAATGGGCAGAAATTTTTTTTTTAAGTTACAATCACCCATGTACATCCTTTAATGTGAATATTGGACAATTTCTTCATTTGCAGATGAAGGTTTTTAGTGCATTAAAAGAGAAAACTGGCCCAAAACCTCATGACTCATTAAATATTTGCTTGTAGTTTGTTCCTCTAAACGTCTCTACATTTTTCATTTTTATTTATTTATTTATTTATTTTTTCGCAGCTCAAACACGGAGCAGAGGCCCGACTGGAGCCGCTGTCCGCCTCGCTGGTTCGGTCCGTCGCCGCGGTCACCTCCAAAGCTTCCGTTGCCGCGGTGACGGGAGACAGGGGCGGTTACCATGACGACGGCTCTCAGCACCTTCTCCATCATTCGGTGTCCTACGTCCCAAACCAACAACTACAGCAGCAGCAACAGCAGCAGCCTCCTACCAACGTTTACCAGGAGAGGGCGCTCAAGAGGTGAAAACTGTTCTCTGGTGTAAAAATCTGCTATTTCAAATTTTTTGTTGTCTAAATATATTATAGAGTTTTACTGGATTTGTGTAATATTTATTGACTAAAAGATTTTTTTTTTTTTTTTTTTTTTCCCCATAAAATAATTCTGAACAAAAAAATAAATATGTACAGCTTTTTAACAATGAAATTTATTGTAATTTTAATTTACTATTATATTATATTTTTAAATTATATTATACTAGACTTAGACAAACTTTATTGATCCACAAGGGAAATTATTTGGACACAGAAGCTCAAACATCACAATATAATATAATAACAAAGAGTAAAAAATATAAATGGTAATTAGCTGTGTGCAAAAATATCAAAATATCTATCTATAATATATATCGTCTCGCCTAATGTGATGATACAGTATTGGTATCATGAGCTGCTGTATCGATATATCGACAAGAGTATTTTTTTGTACATTTTACTAAATTATTTTGTCACAGAGCTACAGTTTTGTTGCTTGTTCAGAGGAAAGAAACTAATTTATTCGACCCATTTGACATTTTCACTGAGTGCGTACACATGCACATCAATAACCCGGTTATTAGCCATATCCCGGTTCTGTCAGTATTCGGGTTACTGTGTTTACATGCGCACTGAGAAACCGGGACACTCATATTCGTGTATACATGATCAAATGGAGTATCCCGGATTCTTGACATAATCTTACAAATGCGCAAGCGCAAAAATTAACTTAAATCAATTTCATAAACCAGGAAAAATACAAAACCGTGAGCTCCTTTAGCATAAGAAGCTAAGGAGCTACGAGATCTCCCACAATCCACTGCGCAGATTCTTCATTAAAATCTTCTGCATAAATAAACTCAACTTTACAACATATAAACCATAAACACTATAGACACATCAGCCCGTTTGATCAGATAATTCAGCTGTGATCACATTTGTTTACGTTTTACAGAAACGAAACTTAAGACCGTAGGCTAATTAGCATAAACTGTTAGCGGCGATAAAAACAACTCGCTCCTTGCGCCGCTGATGCGATCAGTTTCTTTTGGACTAAATGACACGACTCTGTGGATTATGTGTGTTATTTCTGTGACAGAAGAGGCGCTAATGATGGTAAGTGTGTTTCGTGCATATAGAGTATAGGAGATAGTTCATGTTTTAGCTTTTCAGCGTCACACGAGTGCAGGTCGTACGAGTGCAGATTGTACATGTGCAGGTTTAGCGCAGCTCTTTATTTTACAGTCATTTCACTCGTTTGGTCACTTTATTTATGTTGGTCAATTTATTTATGTCACTACTGTTGTGGTGAAAGGCTGGAAAGTGTCTTTTGGACGCATGCGACTCAACTTTATGTTGCAGTAACCGGGGTACTGCGTTACATGCCACAAGTAATCGGTTACTATCGGAATAAACCAGCTTACAGTAACCCGGTTTCTAATAACCGGGATACTGCCATAACCGGGTTACTGAAACGGGTTACTGCGTTACATGCACCATGAAGAAACCGGGATACTCAAAAAACCCGATCATAACCGGGTTATTGATGTGCATGTATACGCACTCACTGTTTTAATCATTAAAATGTTTGTGTTTCATATGAACTTTGAACAAGAAGTGATTTAACAAAGACTTTTAGTATCACAGACATGATTTAGTCTTTATTTTTTTTATTAAACCGTACTGAATCGGATCGAAAGTGCACTATATCGAGGTATGTATCATCGTGGCCTAAGTATTGAAGTATGTATCGTATCGTGGCCTATGTATCAAGATATGTATCGTATCGTGGATTATGTATCGTATCATGGCCTATGTATCGACATATGTATCATATCGTGGCCTATGTATCGAGATATGTATCGTATCGTGGCCTATATATCGAAGTATGTATGTATCGTATCGGCAACTTCTTAATAATACCCAGCCCTAATTGTAATAATAAATTTTAGCAAAAGTAGCAAAAAAGACAAAGAAACAGGAGTAAAAAAAAAAAACAACAAAAACATAATTATGTAAATGTAAATGTACAAATCAAAATAAAATAAGAAGATAAATAATAAAATATAAAATCACAGATCATGGGAAGACAAAAATGCAACAATGACATGATGATTGACAGGACATAGTTGTTGTTTTTTTTTTTATAGATTTGTTGTAAATATGTAAAAAAAAAAACGCACTAAAACATTTCCGACACACTGAACCGTTTTGTTTAATAAATCCATTTGACGCTGCAGTGTTTTTGTCAATCGTACATCATGATCGATACGTTGTTTTTTTTGTTGCAGTTCCAGCATCCACCAGGAGAGGACGCCAAAGTACTTCTCCATGAGCCCCAGCGGCGACCAGGACCCCCAGCCCACCCCCGCCGCCGCCCCCGCCGCCGCCGCCGCCGCCTCCTCCTCGTCTCTCCTCCTCCTCCTCCCGGCGCAGGAGGGAGGGGCCAGGGAGGAGAGCCACGATTTACTGCATTTTGACAGGGACCGCGAACGCCACACGCACCGACATGACGACCCGGGTGCTGTAGCGGCGCGGAGGAGCGAACCGGCCGCTCCCATCGTCGTCGCCCCCTCCTCCTCGGCTCCTCAGCGCCTCGCAGGTAAGAGACGCCAATTAGGAACCAACAAAATCCCACAAAATATCCTCCAGAAATTTACGCTTCTGGTGCTTGGATTTTCTTTTTTTTTTTTTTTTTTTTTTTTTTGGCTCGGGGCTGTTTGCTTTGGATGAGTGAGGAAAAGAAGAGAAAGAGAGAGATGGAGAGATGGAGAGAAAGAGGGAGGGAGGGAGGGGGAAAAGGGAGAGACGTCTGGGGCAGGATCTAATTAGCATATTTTCCCATTCATTCACCCACATGGTTCTTTGTCTCACGGAGGAAGAGCCGGGTTTGGATTTGGACTCAGGGTTTTTTTTTGGGTTTTTTTGAAGGGGGGGGGGTTCAGAGAGGCTCTTTAAAGCACGGCAGTCAAGGCTGGTTTAGTCCTGGTTTAGATCTGGGTTAGACCTGGTTTAGAGCTGGTTTAATCCTGGTTTAGACTTTATTTTGTCCTGGTTCGATCCCGTTAATAACCCTGTTTTTTCGTCCTGGTTTAGTCCTGGTTTAGTCCTGGTTTAGTCCTGGTTTAGTCCTGGTTTAGACCTGGTTTAGACCTGGTTTAGTCCGGGTTTATTCCTGGTTTAGTCCTGGTTTAGACCTGGTTTAGTCCGGGTGTACACATGGTTTAGACCTGGTTTAGACCTAGATTAGACTAGATTAAACCTGGTTTAGTCCTGGTTTAGTCCTGGTTTATTCCTGGTTTAGTCCTGGTTTAGACCTGGTTTAATCCTGGTTTAGACTTTATTTTGTCCTGGTTCGATCCCGTAATAACCCTGTTTTTTCGTCCTGGTTTAGACCTGGTTTAGTCCTGGTTTAGACCTAGATTAGACTAGATTAGACCTGGTTTAGTCCTGGTTTAGTCCTGGTTTAGACCTGGTTTAGATCTGGTTTAGACCTGGTTTAGTCCTGGTTTAGACCTGGTTTAGACCTGGTTTAGTCCGGGTGTACACATGGTTTAGACCTGGTTTAGACCTAGATTAGACTAGATTAGACCTGGTTTAGTCCTGGTTTAGTCCTGGTTTAGACCTGGTTTAGACCTGGTTTAGACCTGGTTTATTCCGGGTGTACACATGGTTTAGACCTGGTTTAGACCTAGATTAGACCTGGTTTAGATCTGGGTTAGACCTGGTTTAGATCTGGTTTAGACCTAGATTAGACCTGGTTTAGATCTGGTTTAGAACTGATTTAGACTTTATTTTGTCCTGGTTCGATCCCGTTAATAACCCTGTTTTTTCGTCCTGGTTTAGTCCTGGTTTAGACCTGGTTTAGTCCTGGTGTACACATGGTTTAGACCTGTTTAAGCCTGGTTTAGTCCTGGTTTAGTCCTGGTTTAGACCTGGTTTAGTCCTGGTGTACACATGGTTTAGACCTGGTTTAGTCCTGGTTTAGTCCTGGTTTAGACCTGGTTTAGTCCTGGTTTAGTCCTGGTTTAGTTTTAGACCTGGTTTAGTCCTGGTTTAGTCCTGGTGTACACATGGTTTAGACCTGGTTTAGTCCTGGTTTAGACCTGGTTTAGTCCTGGTGTACACATGGTTTAGACCTGGTTTAGTCCTGGTTTAGACCTGGTTTAGTCCTGGTTTAGTCCTGGTTTAGTCCTGGTTTAGACCTGGTTTAGTCCTGGTTTAGTCCTGGTTTAGTCCTGGTTTAGTCCTGGTGTACACATGGTTTAGACCTGGTTTAGTCCAGGGTTAGACCTGGTTTAGATCTGCTTTAGACTTTATTTTGTCCTGGTTCGGTCCTGTATTAGGCCTGTTTTTTGGTCCTGGTTTAAATCTGGTTTAGACCTGGTTTAGTCCTGGTTTAGACCCAGTTTCAGTCCTTCATTAGCCTGATTTTAGTCCTAGCCTAGTCCTGATTTAGTCCTTGTTTATACATTATTTAGTCCTTGCTTAGTCCTGGTTTAGTCCTGGTTTAGACCTGGTTTAGACTGGTTTAGTGGTTTAGTCCTGGTTTAGACCTGGTTTAGTCCTGGTTTAGACCTGGTTTAGTCCTGGTTTAGTTAGTCCTGGTTTAGTCCGGGTGTACACATGGTTTAGACCTGGTTTAGACGTAGATTAGACCTGGTTTAGTCCTGGTTTAGACATTATTTAGTCCTGGTTCAAACATGGTTTTGTCCTGGTTCAGTTCTGCTTTAGCCCCGTTTTTGTCCGGCTTTAGATCTGGTTTAGACCTGGTTTAGTCCTAGTTCAGTCCTGCATTAGCTCCGTTTTAGTCCTAATTTAGACCTGGTTTAGACCTGGTTTAGACCTGGTTTAGTCCTGGTTTAGACATTATTTAGTCCTGGTTCAAACATGGTTTTGTCCTGGTTCAGTCCTGCATTAGTCCTGTTTTAGCTCAGTTTTAGTCCTGGTTTAGACTTTGTTTTGACTTGGTTTAGTTCTGGGTTAGATCTGGTTTAGACCTGGTTTAGTCCTTGTTTA